ATAACTCTGGATAAGGGATTTTATTGAAATGCAATAAGCTATAAATGCAATAAGCTAATACTATAAGATATAAGCATTAGGAATCAATTTTCCAGCAAGATTGGTCCAAAATGTCTGGACTGTTCAAATCGTGCCAAGCAATAGGCAAACAATTTTCTCTAAGATGCAAACTCATTTAAGACTTAAGATATATGGCTGCATATGGCTCAAAGCTGAGTCAGAACTACTTTGATTGACCTTCTGATTTGCAAATGAATCAGTGTAATCATTTATAAGGCTTGAAGAAAGTCATCTAATGATGCTTGAAAAGGACAATAAAAATGATCTGAAACAACTCCCAATTTACCTTCTACTCCACAGTTTTTGAATCGTGGCATTTTAAAATTATGAGGACTACAACAAAGTCACGTAGTGTAATAAGATTGGGATTGGTTTAGGTTCTTCTGTCCTCACTGTGAGTTGTATTGGGGGAGAGGGGTGCACAAAAGGAGGCTCAGCCAATCTCATTGTACACATGTTGTACTCTGACAATAAAAGTAATAATAAACTTTCACTCCCAGAATTTCCCAGCCAGCATTGAGATTGGAAGCCCACATATCTTGACGTTGCCAAGGTTGAGATGCCATCTACTCCAATCAAAGTTGCATGGAGATATCACAGCAGGCTTAATTTCAAGGCAACATGAACACTTGTGATGCCACAATAAAGAAAGCAAACCCAGGGTTAGATTTTCATTAACAGGTGGCACACACAAACTCCAACATTTACACATAAATGAAGCAAAACAGCACTGAAGTCCTAAACGTAAGGTTGTGGTTATTAATCACACAGACAGTTTTACAGATAGTCTTCAACCTTTCGGTCACAATTAGCTTCATTTTACAACCTTTTTGCCACAGTTGTTAAACAAACCACTGCAATTATTAAGTGAAACATGCACTCGTTAATCAAATCTGGCTTCCCCCAATGGCTGCTTATTGGAAGCTGGCTGCGAAGTTAACAAATGGTGGATAATAGAGGGACATTTGGTTAGGATAAGCTACTCTATTACTTTGATTTATGTAATCCTACATCCAAGGCAGTGGTTGGATTCAAAAAAAATTACTACCAGTTCTGTGGGCGTGGCTTGGTGGGCGTGGCAGGGGAAGATTACTGCAAAATCTCCATTCCCTCCCCACCCCACTAACCTGCTTTCCAGCTCCGTTCTCCTGTGCAAGGCAACAAAAGAAGACCCAGCCGATCAGCTGGGACTTGGGGGGCAGAGAATAGATGGGGGCAGGGCCAGTCAGAGGTGGTATTTGCCGGTTCTCCAAACCACTCAAAATTTCCTCTACCGGTTCTCCAGTACTGGTCAGAACCTGCTGAATACCACCACTGATCCAAGGGCATCTCCCTAGGATGGTGGATCAAATACTTCAAGATGATAGCTGTTACCAGAAAACTGAAGCTCCATCCTTTTAGGAAGTGCATTGAGATGTACAAAATGGAAGGGGCTGTAATAGCGCTGTAATAGCGCAACTGCTCTCCTGACTGTTTTAACACCCCCTCCCTCAGATGCCCCTGCCTTCATGCTATTTCCTTGGTCTTTCATATGTACAATGTAGTTTACAGGGGAAAAAGTGATTTAGGACTTCCTCAAAGTGCTTGCAGTTCCTGAATGAAACCAAAGTGATAGGCTCCGAAGTTGATTGTTTACAGCCGTGATGGTGGTGCAGTGCTTAGAATGCAGTATTGCAGGCTAACCCGTTGCTCATTCCTGGAGTTCAGTCCTAACCAGTTTGAGGTTAATTCAGCCTTCCATCCTTCCGAGGTCAGTAAAATGAGAAGTCAGATTGTTGGGGGGTAATACACTGACTCAATAAAAACCGCTTAGAGAGGGCTGTATACTGTGAAGTCTAAGTTATAGCTCTTGCTATTTAGATGTTCTTATGGAGGCAGGCCTGGATATCTCAACACCACCTTCTTATCCCATACGATCCAGGAGAAAAGACTGATGGTCATTTTCCCCAAAGGAATTCAATCTGTGGGTACTTTGTAGACAACTCTATAGGTAGACTTTTGTGGTTCACTTTTTGTGAAAAGGAGCTTTCATAAGCCTGGAATACTGTCTCTCTAATGAGCTTTCACAGCACTGTTGAAACATCGGTTATAGCAATGGATGACATTAAGATTTGGTTGGCCTATTGTGGATGGCTTTGGAGTTTAAATGGTTGGAAGTCTATGCTGTTTAATTCCCCCACCCCCCTTAAAAATGTACAGTATATCTCTGAAAGCTGCAGGAACAGAACAGCATAGGTATTACACAAGCACACTGATAAATATATAGTGAATGATTTGGGGTAACTTGTTATTATTACCCTAAAAATCAATAGTATTCCATGAAAACTGAAGCAAACAATTTGACACTTTCCATTAAATTTTCTTTGTATTAAGTAGGGACTAGATTTCCAACTAGGGGTGGGATTCAAATTTTTTAACAACCTGTTCTGTGGGAGTGGCTAGGTGGGCATGGCCATGTGACTGGGTAGGCGTGGCTTCTTTCTTTTTGCAGCATTCCACCCCTCCCATTTTTTTTTGCCTCCTAGGCCTCAGGGAAGCCTCCTGGGGGTTGTTTTTGCCCCCAGAAGGCTTCCCTGGGGTCCAGGAAGGCACAAAATGGAGCGCAGGGGACGTACACGCCTCCACCGCCCCCCCCTTTTGCCTCCTGATCCTCAGGGAAGCAACCTGGGTGAAGCAATAAGACAACGAGGAGGATCCCGGCACAACTGATTATCGGAACAGATGATCGTCAGGACAGGAAAAAATACCTTAAAGAGTGACTGGGCGGGGGAGAATGCAGTCAGCGATGTCGGATATGCATGCAATGTCGGGCATGTGCGCGATGTCATGCATGCGTGATAAGGACTGACTGGGCAGGGAGGGGAGGGGCAGGCAGAGAGAGGCGGGGCCAGCCAGGGGCACAATTTGCCGGTTCTCTGAACCTCGCAGAATCATAACAACCGGTTGTATAGAACTGTTCCAAACTGGTAGAATCCCACCCCTGCTTCCAACCCTATTTGTTTAAATGAACCCAACTGAAAACCCTTTTTGTTTCTTCTTCATATTTTGGTGCTGTCTAAGCCTAAATTTCAAGATAAAATTCAGGTTCTCAAACAGGCTGAAATATTCATCTTTATTAATCTACAGAAGAAAAACCATATTTTGTGGTAAAAACGTATGCTTTTTTAACAAAAAAAAATGTCAACTCTTGAAGGAGACAATAGAAAGAAATTTAATGGGATAACAAATTAGAAAATATTGCCAATGAACATGTATTTATGTCTACATTTATATCAACATTTCAGTCCAAACAGATATATTCAGAAGAAAATTGCACAGATTTGATTAGGATTGTACTATAAAGCCATTAATTCTGAATTCATTGAGCAATGAAGGTCTTTGTTTGCATAGAAAATCACTTTCCATATTCAGAAGTATATCCCACTAATTTAATATATCATATTTAAATATTAAAGCCATAAGAATTAGAGCTCATTGCTGTAAATGCGCGCTACCACATTAAGATGAAGTTGGTGGAACTGAGTTTCAAGTCCATGTATATTTTTTAAGACAGCAAAAATATCATCCAGACTTTAAACATACTAGTTTTAAACTATCAATGGGGGCGGGGTTTGTATAGGGGGACAGCTTATCATTCTTCATGTGAATAAGTCAAGGTAATGTTAAAAGAATTTGTTCTTGGACATAATACAGGTAGTCTGTGACTTACGATCGTTTGCTTAATGTCTGAAGTTACAATGGCATTGAAAAGTGACTTACTGTAGGGCCATTTTTCACACAATCTTTGCAGCATCCCTGTGGTCATGGGATCTAAATTTGGATGCTTGACTTTTGTCATGTATTTATGATGATTGTAAGATCATGTTGATTCCCTTTTGCAAGCTTTGACAAGCAAAATCAATGAAGAAGCCAGATTCAGTTAACAATCATGTTACTAACTTAACAACTGCAGCAATTCATTGAGCAACTGTGGCAAGAAAGGTTGTAAAAATGGGATAAAACTCACTTAAAAACTGTCTCATTTAACAATGGAAATTTTGGGCTAAGTTGTGGTCTGTAAGCCGAGAACTACCTGTATATACGTCCTTACTTTTAACATTTTAACCGTCAAAACAAGTCCACTAGGTTCCTTAGAATCTCACTGCCAGCCTAAATTTTGTAAATATAAAAATGTGTAACAGCTGCCATGGAAAGTTGACTCTATGGCTTTGCCTCTTTCAAAATACAGATTGAAAGTTCATATTGTGATGTTGAATAAATATGTTTTTTTCATAACTGTGGAAGTTTTCATGGTAACTCAAGAAGACTGCGATATACAATGGAAATCACTCAAATATATTTTTCAAGGGAAATAGTATAGCCGAGTGTATGAATGAAATGTTAAACATACTCATGCATTAGTAAGAAATTACTGCGAAGGAATTGAAAGCCACAATCACTGAAATGAGGAAAACTTTATTATACAGTATAAGAAACAATAAACAATTATATTCCTGAGTTAGTAATACCTTCCAATCAAACTATCAGACATGGTTTATTGGCGCTAGAATCCTGTTTCCCTATCTAAGCTGCCTACTTACAAAATGTTTTTTTTCAAAAAAATCATAAAGCATAAGAAGATACCATATGAACTGGTTGAATTGTCCAGTTAGATCAGCCAATCAGGCCAATTACTCCATTTTCATTACCCATTCTCTTCCCAAATCCAGGATGTAATAAAACCTGATGAGGACCCTTTGCTCCTAAGTAAAACAATTTTATATAAGGCACATCAATTTTTCTATAACAACTTGCCATGAGCAGCTCGCCGTGGGACAAGTGTTACACTAAACTGGAAAAAGCAATAGAATAATAAAAGAAAGGATACCAAAGGAGGGACAAAATGAAATGTGAATAATAAAAATTAATTTTTCCCCAAACAACCATTTCAATTAATTAAATTGAATTGTTGAATTGTCCCACAGCAAATTGCCCTGTGGTGAGTTGGCCATGCCAAGTTGTCTCTCAGTGAGTTATCTGTGGTGAGTTGGCCATGGTGAATTGGCCGTAAAGAGTTGGCTTCAGTGAATTGTCCCATTCTGGCTTAGAAAACTGCCCTAGCATTGATCTAAAGCTACAGAAAATAAATCAGCAGGTTTTGGAAAAGTACAACTCACATAGATTTGAAACGGCAATTTTACCCATAATTAACAGTTTCTTCTATGAAAAGTGCAGGGTTTTGAGTACAACTGACACAGCAGCTTTATAAGCTGCAGGCTTTTCCCCACTAACTCAGTCCAATATCCGAAATAGACAAGACAAACAGGCATGTTAATTTAGCAGTCTATATGAAGGTTTGTTATGAAGATTAATGGAAGGTAAAGAATAGAATTATTTTAATTTATATTCTTCATCCAGATGTTGATAATAATAATAACAACAACAATAATAATAAGTTTGTTGCCTTTTAGAGTTCACTATGCGTCTCATCTTCTTGACAAAGACCTATCAAGAGAGGGCAAAATTAGATACTAATGGAAGATCAAACAATTAGATTATCTCACAATTCTATATTTATATTTATTCAAGTTTCAGATATCCCTGATCATGATAGTGAAATAGATTATTCACCATTGTTCAAAAATCGTAAGTCATATCCCGATGCACATTTTGAAACAGAGAGTTATTGATGAGTTTTTAATAATATAGTAGGGTTTGGGGTTTGTTTGTTTTTTCATTTTAAGGTTGGTCCAATGTATTCATTGATTAGGCATAGTATTTTAAAACAGAGCAACCAGATTTTTAAATACAACTTTACACATAATTATAAGTATGTTAAGATAAAAAAATTTTTTTGAAGTGAACAGTATCTAAAAGTCCATATTTTGGGCAAATTGCTGGCATTAAGACAATGAGCAAATATATGATGATTGAATCGCTATTTAATGTGATTGTGCTCTTTCTTTATAAATTTATACGATTTTCTTATACAATTTTCCTTTCAGTATTTTGCTTTGTAGAAGCTGTTTTAATTTAATAAACAAAGAACTTTGGTGTAAAAATATTAAATGCTTTTTGTAGAAGATTCCTGCCCATTTATCTAAAATCACAGCCCAGTCTTTAACCAAATTATTGGGAAATAAATCCCCTTTTTGTGCTGCTTATTTCTGAATCAACAGAGTTAATACTGGCATCTAATCTCTGATAACATAAATAGCCTGAGCTTGAACTGATTCACTATTTGGTGACAGAAATATATTCCAGATACCTTAGAAAAACAGAATAAACAGTTTTCCCCCTATTGTGACATACTTGGGTTTTTCTTATGTGTTCTTTTAAAGAGCTCAGAGATATAAATAAAAAGCTAAAATCAGAGTTACAAAATGACATCAAAGAAAAAAATTAAAAGGGCTATTGGAAAGAGATTGTCCTCAGATGACTGCTGCATTTATTCCTAGAAAGTTTGAATTTACACAACCATCATAGGGGAAGATTAATAAAACTCTGTATTTACTAGAAATTTATGGGCAGGAGGGAGAAGAAAAGATAATTATGAAACTGTAAAGGCTCATTAAAAATAGATCAGCGGAGAGTACATCTTTATCTTCAAATCCCAGAGAATGTTATTAGAATACAGTGAAAATGTTAGCATCATTTGTATATTAACACTGAGTTGCATTGTGTAGGACTCAGTTGTCCTGTCTTGGGCTGGCAACCCATTCCGAAGGATAGTCTTAGCAAGTTGTCTAGAAAACACTGAAATTTGAAAGCGGTACTTTCGGAGCAATAATAGATGTGCCAAACTGAGCAAGTAAAATGGAAGCAAAAACATCAGGTTTTTATAGAAAAATAGAAGCGTTTTTCTACCCTTGTGAAATTTAAAAATGCATGAATGGCTTCTGCTTAAGCTTTCTACATATATAAATAAATTCACCTTTGGGATGAGAATGAAAAATTTCAGCCAAAGAGATTATTTTTTCAGAATTATGAGCACGTGAAGCCGATTAGTATAATGGAAACCTCTATATTACCTTAATGATAATCATGGGTTGGAGACAGATGGACATAAAGGCAGTCTATTATGTTGTAGAAACAAATGAACTGATACCAATCCAAGAATACTACATTCTTGACCAATGTCTCAATCCTATTGCTTGTAAACAGCATAATTACAAAATACTAATGTCCCTCCAATTTTCTTTAGGTAGATTTCACTGGCACAAAAATAAATTCTGAGTTATCATTTATATGAATGTCAGTGATCCTACAGCAAATCTTAGTTTCCAGCTAATGACTACAATGTCTATTAACTTGAGAAACAATTCCTTTAAGTGGAGGAAAAAATATCTTCGTAAGAACTGTGAAAAAGAATAGATAAAGGCAGTTTTTGCTCTTTTGATTCCTTCCTGGTAGAAAGAGGAATATAGAGATTTTAAGTGAGATCAAAGAAATCTTTTGACAGATAACTGATCCATGGTTGTCTGTATTAAAAAAAAACCCAAAACACAAAAAACAACCTTCATCTTTTTAACATAGCTTGTGAAGGAGTTTTTGGCTTTTTTAATGAAACACCAGATGCAATCATCATGTAAACATGGAAGAAACATATTTTTCTAAAGGTTACCTCAGTTTGACAGATTATAGGATAAGGAATTAAATTCATAGAGGATTTATCATATATTGCTTTTAATAAGGTAGTGAGGCTGTGCGTTTCCCCCTCCTCTGATGAAAGAGGTACATAAATCAGTAAATGCTTTGCAAGGCATCTTTCTTGTACACTAGCACAAATATGTCAGTCGCTAAAGTGTGTCTTGTAAAACATTTCACACAGAAATGTTTACCTTTTGGGTTGCAGAGAAATGCATACTGACACAATTATCTATTTCAACTAAGTCATATTTTTCCCACAGAAATTTCATATTGGTATGTTATATATGTCCACTGCATTCCATAAGCTGGTGGAAATAACTAATAGCATTGAAGAAGCTTATAATCAAAGCTATAATATGATTTGTACAGATGGGAAATGAGTTGGACACATTCAACACCCACAGGGTTTCCTTACATTTTGTTAGGCTCTTTTGTTTTCTACATTTATGGGGCAATTTCTGGAAAATGTGATTTTTCTGCTAGTCTTGAGACAGACATCAGCTAGGAAACACACATGCTTGCTTTGCTAAAGCTGAACATTTTTATAAGAGTAGGATTGGAATAAGTATGTTCCCCCTTTTTCTTTTCTTTTTGAAAACCCTGTGTTTCAGCATTTGGAAGAGGATCTTTTAAAAACTCTCTACCTACTGAAGCAATAGGAAGAATGTATGGTTGTTTACTTTACTTTTCTGAGTTTTCACTTTAGCATGTCAGCCATATTTATAATCCTGTGAGATTTTACAGGGTCAGACTCAAGTGCTGATCTTTCCTGTCATTTGTTTTTCTTGTTTCTTGTAAATAACCTATGTAGGCATTAATAGCAAACTACCATGACAATCTCCTCCTCCTCAATATTTCTATTCAGTTCTTCAAGGAGAAGTGTTTATGGCTTTGGTTGGTCTGATAGCCTTTCTCACCCTTCTTTCTAGTCATTGCAGAATTTTGTCACAATCCTAAACACACTTTAGAGTTAGATTATATAAACTGGCTTAGAGGAGCAATCTAGCTTCACAACTCTAAATATTATTAGAGGGAAATAAGTCCCATAGCTTCTGATCAAAGGTCACCAACTTCTCAAACACTATTAAATTGCAGAGAGCCACACTATCAAAATGAGAATACTGCAGTTGTCTTGAAGTTATGATTTATAGTCAGATAGAAGATAGACATATAGGTAGGCAGGCAGGCAGACAGATACTGACCTGACCAAAAGACCCATTATTTTCACTATTAACCAGACTCAGCTTGATTCTATCACATTTATTTATTTTTAAATGAATTCTATTTATTTAAGGTTACCACCTGAATAAGTGTGCATACAATGCATCCTAAGAAACCAATATATCACACCTTACTTTGTCAAGTAGAAGAAGAAGAAAGAAGAAACTGAAAAATATATAGATTGGAGAAAAGGTGCCTTAAAACAAAGGCCAATTTCAAAATGAGGTTAACATGCTGGAGGAAATTAACTCATACTATATTTCTCTTTCTTCTTGCTTATTTCTATCTTTTTCTCTTTACTTTCACATTGCTTGAAAACTTCAGAAGGAAAAGGCAAACTGTACATGAGTTTCAAAAGTGACCATGTGGGATAATTTATTTCTACTATATTTAGAACAGCAATTATATTGTGACCGAGTGATAGATGAAATTTAAATAATTTATCTTTTATTTGCAATAGATTTTTTAACAATTACAAATTTTTAGACCATGTAATTATTAATTCCTCCCCCATAGTCTTATGAATTCTTCTATTAACCACTAATTGGCCCTATTAACTAGTGTTAACATTAGATCTTATTATTTATCTGTATCAGTTTTTTTAGAAAACATCCAGTCACCTATTTTTACAATCTGGTTATTCAGATGTGATGGTTTAGCAACTTCATCCTACATATATTTCCTGCTAAGATCCAGCTAATTTTGTGGTCTTATACAAGTAACTATCCATAGCATTTATGTTTATATTTATTTAGAATTTGACACAAGAGATTGGATAGTCCTAAAACTTCTTGGTTTTTAGAATCAACTACGTGAAACTGAAGCCAAAATGAATAGATGAAGAGATTCTTGCAGGGATGTCATTGCTTAAATTCTATTTTTATTTTTATTTTATTAGTCTTCATAATAGTTGAAAATCAGATGTTAATTTAGTTAAAGGAACCAACTTTTTTAGGAAGGGAATTTAGCCAACATTAAAATACTCTACTGGAACTCCAGACCCTGAAGTAAACCGTTCTAAAAGATATATATTTACCTATATACCCAAAAGAGAACAAATCTTGTTTTGGATTTGTTTTCCTTTGGATGAATAGGCAAATATATTTCTTCTTTCTTTAACCAACTTTCCTTGGCAGGGCAATGCCCATGCACCTTCAATCTTGAAAATGTTACTTTCCAAAGTGTTTTTGCTGCATCCCAGCAATACAACATGGATTGGGGGGGGGATGGGGGAGGGAGAAGGGTGGAGGGACAACTGCTGTTGAGAAAGAAGCACATGTTACATCAGACACAGTACCTGATTTTTCAATGCACAGCTTGTCAGCAAGAGAGTGTGACTCCCGAGTGATAACTGAGAATATTTCATCTTCATACTGTTCTATGATAGTTTCACACTGTAAAGAGGAAAAACAGCAGCAAAGAACTAAACAAGGCCATCTACACAGAGCAACCAAAGGGTATCTTGTCAAGAGAGACAATTTGGGGTGGTTGTTCTTTTGCCGAGGCAGCGTGCCTGCCTGATCGGTTGTCCTGTAACAGTATACAGCATTAACAATATATTGAGATTTCATTAAGGCTCATTCAAATTCTATCTATTGAAAGCGGATGATGAATGATTCCGCTTAATACAGGTTATTCATTTTGTGAAACAGTTGGTTGAAACGGTTCTAGGGATTGATGCTAGTGCTTTGAAATGGACGGATGGATAAAACATATACAGTATGTGCATATGGGGAAAGAAACTATTTCACTATATCACCAAATAATAACTTATTTTTCAAAATGAAGAAAGCATCAATGACTTTGTATAATGTAAGTTTTATTTCTGACTTAGTCAGCATTGGGGCTCCTCCCAATAAAACTTTATTTGGTCTCTTGGCCTTAATTAAGCATTGACTGTAAGCTCCTTTCCCCCAAATCTACAGAGAATCCCAGCAAGGGGGAAACATTCTATATGATGCCCTTAAAAATAACCAGGAAACCAACTTTTATCACAAAAGAACCCAATTCTTACCATAAAATTATCCCCCCACCCCACCCCCAAGAATCCAGTTCTTAGGTTCAAATCTCATACGTGATGTGCATTCTTAATTAAATACTGCTTCAGCACATGAAATAAGTCTCTACGGATTTTGTAATACAAAAATTGTCTTCGAAAAAATGAAATTTCAAATATTTTTACATGCTCTCCTTACATTTATTTAGAATTTTATGAAACAGTTTGTAGGATCCTAAAATAACCTTCTTGGTTTTAGAATCAAACAAAAAACAAAATCAGTAGTTGATGAGATTCCTGCAGGAAATGCTTTGCCCAAATTATTTATTTGATCATTGTGGTAACCATTGAAGATCAGTTGTTAATTTGGTTAAAGGAAGCAACTTTTCTTGGCAAGGAATGTAACTGGCATTAAAATACCCTACAAGAGCTTCAGACCTATTAGAATCTTGAAGTAAACCCTTCTAAAAGAACAAGACTTCCTTTCTTTTCCACAAGTCTAATTTTGGAAGAGCAGGCAAATATATTTCCAGATTTCTTTCTTTTTTTCACAGGCCTTTGATGAAAATATTATTTTCATGAGCATTTGTTGATGTTTCAGGTATAGGCCAGCTCAAGAATGACACTCTTGTGTCACTTTGCTCTAGATCTCCATTCTGGCTCTCTCAACAAAGTCCAAAGAAAGAAAAGTGGGCAGAAAAAAACAATAACTAAACTCTCCACCACTTTAATAACTATCAGTATTTGAATTAGCAATCTTTAAATCTGAATTGTTTTAATTATTAATTATTTTAAAATGATTTCAACTTAAATATTTGATATCCCAAAGGGAAAATAGAATGGCATTATTCATAGAATATTGAGATCTATATGCCATAGTGTTTCTCTTGCTTTAACCCACCCTGTCCCATTTATTATTATTTAAGACAAATTAACTCAGGGCCTGAAAAATACCCCAATACTATAAAAGCCTTAAATGTAGATTCAGGAAGCAAATTAATCTACAGTATCACAAGGGTGAGGGTGAAAAAATTTCATCCCCCAAAGTCATTAGTTTATTCTGTTGTCTTACCGCATATTTCAAGGGTTTATAAGCATCAGAATAAAAGAAATATTGTTTATATATTGGATATATTTCCTCATCCTTCCTCGGAGCATATCTCTTGAATATCTTTTTCTTAGTTACAGGATCATCCTCAAGTTTGTAATCATTCATCCGATCGCATATATTTTCCAAAATGTCTGTTAAGAAGGTCTCTGACTTTGCAAAAGGAATCTAAAGAAAAAGATTTACAGAAACATACATTTTTCAGATTTTACCAAAGCAAAATCCTGCAGGCGTATATAAACACAGAATCCTTAACCCGGATTGACAGTACAGAACAATGCCTCCAGATCTCCGTATCTACATAATTATTGTCTGATATCGTATTACATATATAATTAAAAATGTCAGCTAAATCTAGGATGAGTCTGGAAATAATTAAACATTTAAAGTGCTAATAAAATATTCTTTTTAGCCTGAAAATATACATGCCATTGTAAACTGATTTTAAATGCAAGATGGTTTTTTTTTTAATTATGTGGTATATTTTATGTTCAAAACTCAACCTATAAAGAGAGAAACTTTGTTTTTCAAGTCTCAGTGAAGTCTTAATAGATTCCTTGTTAGAATGTGCTTGGTTTCTCTTACCAAAGCAAAGTTTCCAAACATCCTATCCTCCAACACACACCACACACACACACACACACACACACACACACACACATCCACACACACATCCATCCTTCAGTTAGTCTGACTTGCTGTTCGTCAAGTCACTTGCAGCTGTTTAATTCCTCCCAAGGGTTTGGGCAAAGAAAATAATCACTTACAAAACTGTACTTCTCCCAGAATCTACTATTTCAGGCTTTCTTTTCAAACAGCTGGTCCATGTCTTCGTCTTTTCCTATTCCTTCAGAATTAAGCAAGAATTCAGGGGACCACATTTAGACACACAGTACCTACGTACTTAGCGAGGGTCTCAGCAGTCAATGCTACAAGGGTCAAAGAGCACCCCTTGCTCTTGGTAACAGAGACAAAAAAAACTTCTCTCCCGTCTAGACAGGTCAAGGTGCACGATGAGCCCATCTCTGGAGCTTCTTCCGGAAGAGGGCATGAATTGAAGCCAAGTGCACAGTAAACAGCAGATCTGCATCTTTGGGCCTTTAGAAGATTTCCCCTCTTCACCCTCTGCTGATCAAAGGAGGAAGTTATCATGACAACCAGAGTCAAAGAACCTGAATCACAAATGAACTCGATTTCTTCAGTGTTGATATATCCCATCCCTATTGTCTCTTTTCACACGCAGTATGAACCCTTCCGGTCTCAACGATTACATTACAGAAGGGACTTTCATATGTGTGCTCCATTTACACAAAGGGTGTCCTTTCCTTCACTACCATCTGGTCACAAATCAGGGAAATAAAGGCAGGAGAATTAAAATTAAAGCTTAGAGTCCCTTCTCTCTGACCCCCATCTCTTGAAGTAGGCCTTTTTTTTTTTACAATAAACTTCCCTCCTTTCACCTTGTCCTACCTTCTAGTTAGAAACCTAAGACTTATGGAAATAGGAAAGAACCAGAAAAGCTCAACATTACAAAAAGAAAAGAAAATGGCTAGTAGGAAACGTCCCTTCCATGTTTCCATCCTTCCTTTCTTCTTTCTTCTTTTTTGTTTTAGAAATAGATTTCATGTGCTGTATTGAAGGCTAAATCATAAATTAAAAAATGAACACAGACATGCACACGAACATATTTGTGTGTGTGTGTGTGTGTGTGTGTGTGTGTGTGTGTATGCACATTCTCAAATCTCAAAAAATAAATCCCTCCCCTATAATATAGACACTGCATAGCATGTTTCCAAAAACGTTAGATGAAATGTATAGCCTGGCACAACTTTTCTCTACCTTTAGGAGTAGGCATTGCAAAGCTAGGTACTCTGATATTATTTGGAAGAACTTGCTAATTTCAATGCTTATTTTTTTTCCACATAAAACATTTCCACCCAGTTGAAACAAAAGCAGAGAGAGCCTTGCCTTTTTTTAATTTGTGATACTTCATGAGTTAAACAGATAACACTTCTTTATTTTACAAAGTTTGTCTTGAACTCATTGAGATGAATGATTTGACTTAAAAGGCATCTACTACAATAATGTAGTGAGAGTGAAAGTTTAGGAAGTTTCGTCTAGGCTGCATCTACAGTATACTTGGGTGTTCTTTAGCTATGAAGGTCTTAAATGTCTTTGCTGCAAATAAATAAGGTTAATAATATTTAGGCCCATTTATTGCAATGCTTAAATATATCTTCCTTTATATTGATGGTGAGTAAAGCACACAAGATCTACTTCTAAGTAGACCTGCTAGTATTGAACTTGTACTAACCATAGGTAATTAAAATAGAAGGATGAGGCTTGTTAAACAGAATAGCTTCATATTTCAAATTCTGCTGTTTTTCAGACTATTTTAAACAAAAAAGATCTGCAATGTTTTCTGAAAAAGCAGACTAGGTATTTAGCTAAGATTTGGGGGAGGAGTAGGAAGATATTTTGGAGACACAGAGAGAGAGAGAGAGATCTCCAACCAAATGAAAGGTGGTGAGGTATCAAACATAAAGAAAAAGTACAAAAAACATTTGAGAATTGCTTTAGGCTTAAAGCATACAATTGGATATATATTAAGATAAGCAGAATATAAGGCTAGACTTCAATCTGAGCCTAAAAATCTTTGTATTGCTTTAAAATAAGCAGGTATTAGCCTCTGTTTCTGAATATACGAAGTCTTCAAGAAACAGTGAATGATTTAGTGTGTCATGTCTGACATGTACACAGAAAGTTCCTACTCCAAAAGAAAGTTTGGTGGTAATGATCCTATACAGATATAAAATATGTACAGAATAATTTATGCAGGCATGTAGAAAGAAGAGGTATACACTGCACACCCCAATATATTTCTGAGGGACTTGCTTGCTTTCATGGCCATTTTCAATAACCTATTTTTATACTTAACAAAGTAGCTACAACAAATAAAGTCCCAATATTTCTTCTCTTCTCCCATAACTAAATTTAACACAAGACATACAGAGGGTTTTCTTGTTTTACAAAACTGCTAAGAAAAGTAAAGTCTCTGTTAGCAGAGTTTTGCGTACAAGGAGATGCAGCAGGCCAAATTATACCCTCACCAAAATTCATACACACTTTAATAGATGAGGTTCTTATACCAATTCAAGACAGGCAATAGCATTCTTGCTTTTGTATAATTTTCTTGGTTCCCGAGTTAAGGGGGTTACCACAATTTATATTTCCACTTGCATAGAGTTTTGAGAAAGATATATCAAATAACCACCCGTGCAAAACCACCCCTCCCAAAGTTAAGTATACTTCAAAATTGCTTTAATAATAAAATGGGGTGGGTGGGGGGGAATTGGACAAGGGGCAGAAACCAAAAGCAATTCTATGAAAGCCCTAAAGATTCTGAATGGTACTTGTCAATAGACAGCTCCTATTGTAATCACCCTGGAGATGTGGGGCCTCCGCCCTGAAAAAGCTGCCTCAGAGATTGTAACCTCATTAAAATATGAATAACAAGTCAGCCGTCATTCAAAAGAAAGAAAGGCATCTTATTCTGCATCAAATTTCGCCATCATTTCAAACAACCACAACAGAGCAACATGGAACAACACCCACCCCATGAAAAAAAAACACCAAAACAAAACCCCCTCCATTTCTCTAGCTCGATGTTTGTTTGTCGCATGTGGAAACGATGTTAGCAGCGGAGTGGATTAAGCCTAAACATTTTCAAGGGAATCACTTGTGTTGCCAAATATTTCAGAGCATGCCGAAGGGGTTAAAAAAGAAAAAAGACTCTCAAACCAGGCGCTCAGATAGTCTTTCCAAGATCGCAAAATCTAAAAGAAGAGGGGGGGGAAAGTTAATAACAACGCACCTTCACGTGAGGAAGAATAGAGACACACCACAACTCCAAGATATTTTAGCCAATTTTAAGCCCCAGGATGGAAAATTCATTACAAGCAACAATGACACCTTCATAACAGACAATTACATGGAAGCTCATGATCCAGTTCATTACTATGTCTCTGCTAATTTCATTGTAAATTTCTGCTTTGATAGAAAATTCAACTCGCCAAGAATACAATTGGGATGTGGAAAGATAAATAAAAACATAACTGGTACAGATGGAAAGCTTCCAAAACCCAGATAGCCAATCTAATATTTCTGAACACTACTTTCCATATTAGAATTTTCTCAAGTTTCACTATATCTGTTTTATGCCTGCTTGTGTGTGTATATCTCTACAATCATCCATAAATATGCACAACTAGAAGTAGATCCATACAGAAATGAATAGATGTATGCATCTCTTTGGACTCTTCCATGCAGAAAAAAAAATCACGAGCTTTGTCATTGGGAACAATATTCCAATTTTCAACATTTATTAAGGGTCAGTATTTAAAAATGAAAACTCAATTGTTCACACACTCCCCCATTTGCTTTAGGCTAGTGCAGGAGAAACATGAATGCTGAACCACTCAAAAGGCTGATGGGATATATAATTAGCTATTATGTTAATTGAATCCACTGTGAGTTTATTGTATGAGATTTCTTCATATAATATGCAAATGATCTCTAAGGTTTAGTTTTATTAGACAATATAATTAGAAATCCTTTTAAAAGAGAGAATTCTAATGAGGTACAATAAAGGTTAGGAAAATATGTTTGCTATGTTGAGTTACCACCTGGGCTTCCTTAATTAAAATCAAAAGAGAAAGAAAAACTTTGCACACCAACCAGATCACCTCCCATACATACACATTACACAAATGCAAAGTTTAAAACCTTAATTGTTACACTTCAGAAATTTAATTTTTTTTTAATCATTTCTTTGCCCTTTATAAACCTTTACCATTGGTTCATAGTCTAACAAGGAAGGTTTCATTTATTCTCCATCTATATTCTCTAGATTTCTTCTTAAGAATATAAATCACTAGGTTATGATCAGAAAAAGTTACTGGTAATATCTCTTTTCCAGTCCAGTAAAATAGATTCTTGGAGATTCAAAATATATCAATTATTGACATTGGACAAGAAATGTTTTGACCTGTTTTAGTCTGGCATTTTTAATTTTCATGTACAATTTTCAAAATAAAACCACAGGCCCAGCTATACACACAAGGATAATGGGATAGGGGGTTCACCTTAAAAAGCCTGTTATTGTTCTG